GATGTTTTACTACGTGGCCTCCCAATGTACAGAGTCGACTTTTAAGAACCGGTTTTTCAGCACTTCTTCCAGTTGCTCCTATTACAGTAATAGTTCTTCCAGATGGAGGAGCAACTTGATTAGTCACCACCGAATGTTCAGCACCAGTGTCGATCATGACGCACTCCTTTTTCCCCCTATTGATACATCGACCATAGGCTCCGCTCGACCAAGGGGGATGGAGCCCGGTCGGTATCAATAGTCCTCCATGACCGTGTCAGCCAATCCCACAAAGTCCCTACCTTCTCTATCGCGGGACCTTTGCGCTGCTGGATAGTACCTATCTTCCCTTACACTTCCTCTGTTCCCATTACTCCCTCTATTACCATTACTCCCTCCGGGGCCTCCTCTACCTCTCGCTCTGCCTCTAAAGTTTCCGTAACCTGCCCTGGGTAAGTCTCTCTCATACTGCTCTCTTTGCGGACACTCGTTCCTCCAATGCCCTTCTTCCTTACAGTACGCGCACTGATTCCTACTCAAAGGCTCCCTATTCCATCTACCATCGCCTCTATCTGGGCCCCGTCTATCTACGCCTGCGATCGCTACCGCTAGCATATCTGCCTTTCTACGCATCTTGCGCTCTTCCTCTTTCTTACTTTCTGTTTCCCTATTCATATATACTTTGTTCGCTACCTCCATTAGTTGGGTGATAGACATACCTGCAAACCCTTCTAATTTCTGTAGCTTGCGCTTAATATCTCCGTAAGCTTGGCTGACAAAGGCGGAGTTTACCATTCGGGAATTATCAGCGTCTTCCGGATTAAAGGGGGTATACAAGCGGTATGCCTCCAATAATCGGTCATAAAAGACACTGGGCGCTTCATCACTTTTCTGAATCACCTCAACTGTCTTCGACATGTTAATAGCTTTCTTCCCTCCGGCTTTCATGCCAGCAATTATAGCATCTCTATAGGCTTTAAGTTGAGCCATATCTGCGCCATTTACATTCCAGTCAGGATCGGTGTTAGGGTAATGTGTTGCGGCCCATGCTGCCGGATTGGCTTGATTTAAAGCACGGGCTCTCTCCTCTAGCGCCTTAATGGCCGCTTGGTTAATCCTTGTCCTTTCCTCATTATTGAACAATGTCATTAATAACTGCTGGCAATCAGCCCATGTCGGGTTATGTGTCTGAACTATCGAGGTGAACAGATCGGTCATAGCTTGTGGTTTCTCAGTGTACGAGGAATTGTGGGTCTTCCAATTCAAGAGATCGGTAGTCGTGAACGGGACATATACAAAGACTGGGTCAGCATGTGCCATTTGACCTGCGGCATCGATATAGGCTGACCCAGGATTCAGACGAAGAGGCATCTGGTAATGTTTTAATTGTTGGGTACCGGTCAGTTGTCGGGTTAGTATGGGACTACGTGGAGGGGCGTCAGTTAAAGGTTCCGGTCGAGAGGTAATAGGGCATGAGGATGTGGGAACTTGATTTTGTGAAAAATTAGTGAATAGTATACTCCGAGCCGAGCTAGAAGAAGCTTGACCGGAAGTTTGAAGTGGCGCCAAATCAGGATATTCAGATCTAATGGGGGTTGGTCCTGGTTCAGGAAGGGGAGTTTTAATACGAGGGGGGGTGGATTCTGTACTGGAGGAGGAAGCGGAAGTGGATGGGGGCAATAGGGGAAGGGGTGCAGAACTTCCTGCATTCGCGTCACTTCCTCTTAAAGGGAAGTAAGGGGGCGGCAAAGGGATCTCGGACTCAGGGGGCGTGTCCAAAATGGGCCTAACACCAGTCCTAGTGGACAAACAAGTCCTGGCCACCATGAGGCGACATTGCTCCTCGTGGCATATCCGGATCCATTTTGGCGAGTCGTTTACGGCCTGCCTCCAACAATCAATGTATGGAAACTGTCCGTAAAGTTCAGGCCTACCTGATACAGCCACGTGTACACGCTGTACCAGGGTTGGATCCAAACTGCCACGCGGCGGCCATGCCGCAACCAAAATAGGCCACTCCCTAGTGCACAAAGTGACCAAACGTACAGGAGACATTTTAACCCCAAAATCACATGTTTTGAATCCCTTTTTAAAATTCTTTACCATACAACCTAAGGGATCCGAAATCGTTGACTCTGACGCGCCCATACTTATCAATGGAACGTCGTTGACAACGAATACTATGCACGCGTTCTTATTCAACAGTCACACCCGTTTCCTCTGGCAACAGCACCACGTGGTACAGTTACCGAGTGAAACGTACACAATAACACAATAATCACTCAGGGAATTCCCGTACACACACAGCTGTTACACCAGTCACTAAATAATCAATATTATGCCCTTTGGCGAAACTATACAGTCACCCACGCTATAATTCTCTATATATGAATTACCCGTCTATAACACACCCCAGTAACATCGTCTTTTACTAGTATCGGTTACAGTACGGTTAGCATAGGTCAAAGCACAATTTAAGGTCACAATACAATTATTAGTGGTTACGGTGTTAAACATGCAATAGGCGACAATGATTAGTACTTATATACAGTGTCAGTAAATATACAGGGTTATGGTACCGTGCACTATGATACAGCAACACACTATTAACACTCTCGCTAGACGGCTGAGCTCGCGCTATCTAACAAGATATACACTTTACTAACAATCTTTAACACATTTACAATCCCAACTAAACTATTGGCCAGTACCTTGAATGGACTACCTAAAACTATATACACCCGTTTTGGTTAGCCACACTGCCCAAACACCACATATAGCGAACTAGAGGGCGAAATTTACAAAATTGCCCTTCTAGTCTATTTACTCTATCAAAAGTCTAGTGGGTTCCAAATTTACACGCCTTCCCACTTAGCCAAGATAGGTTGAGAGCTAGCGAACCGAATTTACACAGGCGCCGCTTAGTCTCCCGGTCCCTCCGACCTAGCGAACGTAATATACACCCTAGAACGCTAGTCTAGACAAGACACCGGTGTCCGGCTAGGGCTATTTACACAGGACCCCGCCTGACTAACCAGATCAAAGCGGTCTTACTAAAGAGCGTTCGATCGAGCGGTGCGCCTTCGCTCCTTCCCTCCGACAGAGGGGGCAGATTCCATACACAGATTTAAACCCCTTTTGGGCCTACCGCACAATCGGTATACCCCTAGTGGGTCTGCCGTCTAAAACAGCAGTTGTCTTACCTCCTCGTTCCTGAACCTGAGTTCACACTCATCGACGGGGACACCCCAGCACTTCTTACGTAGAGGCCGATGATCTCCTGGACAACAGACCAGTGGCGCCGAGACGAAGGGAGGTCCACGCAGAAGTTCAGGGGTGCAGCCGTAGAGAACGTGGGCAAAGATAGACCGTCTCACGCCTCTGCCTCTCAGCTACCGTTGAACGATGAGCTTCCCGGCCAATGCACCAAATGATACCGGAGAAACTGACGGAAGCAAAGCACAGAGGGATGGACACAGGTTTCTTCAGGAAGGAAGAGATTCTTTATTGGATCACCGATCGGGACTCAGAGGGACTAATGTCACCAAAAATACAGCAAGTTCTGAGCCCTGAACAATAGTGCAGGCTCCCTATATAGGCACATAACTCCTCCCATATTAAGCTCCACCCGCACATTCTCTTGACCAATCATTACAAATAAGAATTAACTTCCTGCTTGACCGCATGGCTTGTCCAGCACAATGGAGGAGGGGAATACTACATCCTGTATTCTTGCACATGCTCCGTACACTACTGATCGTATCTTGCCTCGTGCAACCAACTGATCGATACGTCAGCATATGCACGTACACATGCCACGTGGTAATCTCGGCCTACTAAATTTATTTTTACCGAGATTCCACCACAATACCCCATGTGTTAATGCAGGGATACCCCATGTGTTGTTATTGCAGGGATACCCCATGTGTTGTTATTGCAGGGATACCCCATGTGTTGTTAATGCAGTGATACCCCATGTGTTGTTAATGCAGGGATACCCCATGTGTTGTTAATGCAGGGATACCCCATGTGTTGTTAATGCAGTGATACCCCATGTGTTAATGCAGGGATACCCCATGTGTTGTTAATGCAGTGATACCCCATGTGTTGTTAATGCAGGGATACCCCATGTGTTGTTAATGCAGGGATACCCCATGTGTTGTTAATGCAGGGATACCCCATGTGTTGTTAATGCAGGGATACCCCATGTGTTGTTATTGCAGGGATACCCCATGTGTTGTTAATGCAGGGATACCCCATGTGTTGTTATTGCAGGGATACCCCATGTGTTGTTAATGCAGGGATACCCCATGTGTTAATGCAGGGATACCCCATGTGTTAATGCAGGGATACCCCATGTGTTGTTAATGCAGTGATACCCCATGTGTTGTTATTGCAGGGATACCCCATGTGTTGTTATTGCAGTGATACCCCATGTGTTGTTAATGCAGGGATACCCCATGTGTTGTTAATGCAGTGATACCCCATGTGTTAATGCAGGGATACCCCATGTGTTGTTATTGCAGTGATACCCCATGTGTTGTTATTGCAGTGATACCCCATGTGTTGTTAATGCAGTGATACCCCATGTGTTGTTAATGCAGTGATACCCCATGTGTTGTTATTGCAGGGATACCCCATGTGTTGTTATTGCAGGGATACCCCATGTGTTGTTATTGCAGGGATACCCCATGTGTTGTTAATGCAGTGATACCCCATGTGTTGTTAATGCAGGGATACCCCATGTGTTGTTAATGCAGGGATACACCATGTGTTGTTATTGCAGGGATACCCCATGTGTTGTTATTGCAGGGATACCCCATGTGTTGTTATTGCAGGGATACCCCATGTGTTGTTATTGCAGGGATACCCCATGTATTAAGGCAGGGATACCCCATGTGTTGATACAGGTATAGTATTGCAGGGAGGGATCCCAGGCAGCACTCCTCCGTAGCAGTAGCGCAGTACACAGCCGGCCCGCCCGCCCCTGGTGCCGGATCCTCCTCCCACACTCCGACACACCCAGAGCCGCCGGAGACATCAAACTCACCCGAAACCCGAGCGGCAGCACCCCGGCGAGCGGCGACATGAGCAAAGCCAAGACCCCCACCACCGACCCCCCGGCCAATGGACAGCCAGGGGCCCCGGATCCCCCGGCAGAGACCCCCCATCACAGCGAGGACCCCGCCGCAGCCAAGGCCTTCTATGACAACCTGGCCCCCAAGAAGAAACCCAGACTGGTATGTAGGGTCCACTGCCTTCTCCCCGGGTCTGCAACCCTCTGAGTGCCAGGGGACCCCCCAATAATGGCACCCAGGGGGTTAACTGTCCCTGAATTCTAACACTCCAGCACTGAGAGGGTTAACTATCCCTGAATTATAATACTCCAGCAGTGAGAGGGTTAACTATCCTTGAATTCTAATACTCCAGCACTGAGAGGGTTAACTATCCCTGAATTCTTATACTCCAGCAGTGAGTGGGTTAACTATCCCTGAATTTTAATACTCCAGCACTGAGAGGGTTAACTATCCCTAAATTCTAACACTCCAGCACTGAGAGGGTTAACTATCCCTGAATTCTAACACTCCAGCACTGAGAGGGTTAAAACCCCATGGCTGATACTTTTATTCTACTTCAACTCTAGACTGAATACGTATTCTCTCTCCAAGATTTACATTAATTAAGCTTTTTTTTCCCAGCTCTGCCCAAGATACACATTTATTATTTATTACTTTTATTTTTCAGCCAAAGCCCCAGAATGCTGTGACCATCGCAGTCTCCTCCAGGACCCTGTTTAACATGTCTGAGGATAGGAAAGTGTATGAGGAGGAAGGGGTGGAGAAATATGTACAGCTACAACAGGACCAAGAAGAGGTGCCCTTACAGACAGGGCCTGCATACCCCTTTGTGATGGTAAATATCCTGTCTAAACATGTTTACAATAAGATACATAGTACAAAAACACACAAACTCTGAGATTTCAGTATTTGGCTATGGGCTGGCTGAGCATGGTGGGAGTGATCAGCTGCATGCCTAGCTGTGCCTGCTTAGGGGGTGGGATGTGGTGTCACTCTGGGTCTCTTCCTCATATCTGACAAGTCATGCTTCAGGTATTTGCAAGGGTGTGTCTGTGAACAGATACTTCATTAGTTAGACAGAGAATAAAAGGAAGCTAGGCCTGGCCTGGGCTGTAAATGTCAACACCCAGAGATGGCAGAGATAGGATTCACAGAGAGGTGAAAGTATTGCAGGACTTTTTACAAAAGTCTTGACTGCAGTAATCCAAAGTGCATATCAACACTTTAGTCCAAGATTGCTAAAATTAAAACATGGTTATTGTGATGATTAACGGTACAGCTATATATTGTAATCTAGAATTTCAAAATCACTTACAATTCAAAGGATTCTTACGTAAGTGATTAAAACTGCATGGTCCAGTGCTGCCTGAGGTTAGTGGGGGTTAGTGTCGCATGGCCGCTATTTCAGCTGCTGTCATTAAAGGGACACTACGGGCACCTATACTTTAATGCATTTGATAATTTGGGGGAATTTCTTTGTTTTTTTTTTTTTTTGCATGCTCAAATCTTTATAGTTTTTGCATAAAATAAATGTTTTGCAGAATGCTGCACCATAAGCCTGTATGTTTAGCCAAACACCCTTATTCCAAAAGTGGACTTGAATTACAAAGCAACCTGAATTAGTAGGAGAGGACGCCCAGGGAGGCACATAGTAATTATATCACACAAACTACCTGTTTTGTAGTTTCTCTGATTTTCTGTCTCCCGGTAGTGCATTAATAGCAGTTCAGTCAGTGCTATTGGGGCTGAGACTGTGTGCAAATGTTTTGATAAGGAAGTGTTTCTGAAATGAGGGGTTGTGGCTCATGAGGGGGGCTTATGGTGCAGAATTCTGCAAAACATTTATTTTATGCAAAAACTATAAAGATTTGAGCATGCAAAAAAAAACTTTATTTTGTTATGTGCAAAAACTATAAAGATTTGATCATGTCATGCAAAAATATATACTCTATTTTCTGGCGTATAAGATGACTTTTTTAACCTTGGAAAATCTTCTTCTCCAAAGTCGGGGGTCGTCTTATACGCCGGGTATAGGGTCTATATGGCTGCCGGGGGCGCCCCCATCGCCGGCCCTTCTAATGCTGCAGCTGCCTGAGCGCTCTATAGAGAGCGCTCAGACGGCTGCCGCACTCCCTCTCTTCTCACCTCCCCTTCCCTGTGTAGCGTGGGTGGCCGAGCTCCTCTTCATCCTGTCAGTCCGGCCGGGTACCGCGCGGTACAGGAGATTCAGTTGCCTGTTCCCGGCCGGACTGAAAGCTCTGTCTGCTCACTGTACATCATGGCTAATTTTTATTTGGTGTGCATTGGAAGAGGGGTAGTCTTATACGGCGAGTATATCCCAAACTCTATATTTTAACTGGAAAAGTTGGGGGTCGTCTTATATGCCGGAAAATACGGTAGCATATTCATGAGGCCAAAACCTATCAAATGCATTCATTTTCTCTTGGTGGCTGGAGTGGTGTCCCTTTTAAAATGGTTTCGGATACTGTATGGGAGTGTAACTCCCACTAACCTTGGGCAGACTGAGATGTGTGTCCCAGTTCTGCTTGAGATTAGTTCCCCCAGATGGCACGGAAGTTGTCTATGCGTTACCTGTTCGTTTTTGTTTTTTTTGCCGGTGCCCTGTGAAACAGCTTCCAGGGACCAGTCTACTTTGAGTTTCTAATGCTGAAATTAGGCCAGTATTTAAAGGGACACTATAGTCACCTGAACAACTTTAGCTTAATGAAGCAGTTTTGGTGTATAGAACATGCCCCTGCAGCCTCACTGCTCAATCCTCTGCCATTTAGGAGTTAAATCCCTTTGTTTATGAACCCTAGTCACACCTCCCTGCATGTGACTTGCACAGCCTTCCATAAACACTTCCTGTAAAGAGAGCCCTATTTAGGCTTTCTTTATTGAAAGTTCTGTTTAATTAAGATTTTCTTATCCCCTGCTATGTTAATAGCTTGCTAGACCCTGCAAGAGCCTCCTGTATGTGATTAAAGTTCAATTTAGAGATTGTGATACAATTATTTAAGGTGAATTACATCTGTTTGAAAGTGAAACCAGTTGGTTTTTTTTCATGCAGGCTCTGTCAATGATAGCCAGGGGAGGTGTGGCTAGGGCTGCATAAACAGAAACAAAGTGATTTAACTACTAAATGACAGTGAAATTGCAGGGGAATGATCTATACACTAAAACTGCATTATTTAGCTAAAGTAATTTAGGTGACTATAGTGTTCCTTTAATTATAGATAATGTATGCTGACAGCTTTGGCAGTCAACACCTTATTATCTAAGAGGCAGCTTGCTCCTGATAAATTATATAACTCTGTAAGTAATATCAGTTTTTCATTGCAGCACTGTTTTTTTTTTTGTTTGTTTTTTAGGGAATTGATAGAGGTTTCTAACCTGGGGTACAGCCTAGCATTGTGGTAACATGTATTTATGGGCTATATATCACTACAACTGCTTTAACTTATATCTCTTTACAAGTGTAAACCAGAATAATCGTATTTACCCGTGTATTCTGAACTCTTGTAATGAATTCCATTCAGAATAATAACTGTATACCTGCACGTTTCCCTAGAATAAGGTATAAATAACATTTTAAACCCATTTGATAGACTCATGTGGATTTTCCACTAAAATGCAAATTTTGTTTGCCCATATTATCTGAGCTGCAAGAATTGTTAAATTAGAGGATTTTTCGAATGCAATGTTGGCCTACAGTTTGCCATTTCTGCAAAATTCTGAGATTGTTTAATAACTCAATCAGGTCAGACACTTCTTATACAGTTTTTGTATTTCTGGTATTCTGTATTGCATTTGCAGGTAGAGTGCTAGGTTTTGTTTTTTTAATTGCATTTTAGGTATCTCCCAGAGGATCATGGGTGCTTAATCAAGAACTGGAAATTAAAACACTGACCTCACCTGCTATATATTTACCTTAGATGCACTCTGCATGGTCCTGGGGCTTGCCAGTCAGTCTCTCTGTTATGGAGGTTGCTAGGAACCCCCTCCAGATCGTTGGCATGCATGTGACACTTAACTTTTTAACCCAAGTAATTCTGGTCTGGTTTCGTTTTTTTTAAGTGAAAGTTCTTCTTCTGCAGTAAATATGTAAATTTCATCCCTGTTTGGATAAAATGTATCTCAGCCAATGAATTCCATCTGAACATGGGCAGAATCAATGTCACTAATACTAATGCAAAAGTAAGGACATCTCCATTAATGTTGGAAACATGTTTTTAACTATTTACCATGGAACTGCGCCAGGGTACTCCTGGTACCATAACCACTACAGCAGACTGTAATGCTTATGGTCCCTAGACTGTCCCTTTTTAATATAGAGAATTACGTGGAAGTAAGGAAGTACACAAGGTAGAGATCGTTTTTAATACTTTCCAGAGAAGTGACATCCCATTAACTGTGCAATTATTATTAATAGAGACCAGGGTAAGTTAATTCTAGTAAAGAGTGCTGTTCGCTGCTGTGTAATGCGATTTATTTTACTTAGGAAAACTGCATATTGAGGCTTTGAAATGAGAAGCTATGAAATCTATAGAAACTGCAGGACACAGATTTCTTTTTTTTTAAATTTTTCTCTCATGTAGCAACTTTAAGATTGCAAAGCTGGAAAGCCCGCCTCAGGGGCCCACTAGTACAGGGCCACATGTCTAGTAAACCGGTCACCCCTGCTTACTTGTTTGAATGTACACGTGTACACCAAATGTGCAGCAAGAAATGCACTTTTGTGTAGAGCTGTTCAGGCTCTTAGAAGCCTTGGGATATTTTACTTGGGCAGCAGGTATTTAATTGCTGCAAGGCCTCAGCGTGTGTCTACATGTCCTAGTGTTAATCTGACACTGGTATTTGTGAGCAGAAATACTGCACCAAACACTTGCTCCAACTCTTATAATGCTCCATGTTATTACAATGAATACTACTCTTCTACCTAAAATTAAACAATATTTTGCTTAGCATGACTCATTTGTGACCACTTGGACCTGTCTATTAGTTTCTTTTTTTTTGTGACGGCAGATAAGAACCATTCGGCCCATCTAGTCTGTTGCTGTTGGACAGTAAAGAGAGGGTTTAAAAATTATAGGATCCTCTGTGTCTTGAAATAAAATATAAATTCCCCTAACATGGATTTTAAATTACATACATCTATGAAGACATAATGTCTCCTGGCTTAAAGGGACACTATAGTCACCAGAACAACTACAGCTTATTGAATTTGTTCTGGTGAGTAGAATCGTTACCTTCAGGCTTTTTACTGTAAACACTGTCTTTTCAAAGAAAATGTAGTGTTTACATTACAGCCTAGTGATAACTTCACTGGCCACTCCTCATATGGCTGTTAGAGATCCTTCCTGGGTCATGGCTGCCTAAAATGCATCCAAACATTCAGTACCTCCTCCCTCTGTATGCAGACACTGAACTTTCCTCACAGAGATTCATTGATTAAATTCATCTCTATTAGGAGATGCTGATTGGCCAGGGCTGAGTTTGGATTGTGCTGGCTCTGCACCTGATCTGCCTCTTTGTCACTCTCAGCCAATCCTATGGGAAAGCATTGTGATTGGCTCAGAACACAACTTCTGATGACCCAAGCCAGCAGATTAGGAACATAAACAGCAGGTGCCTGCAATATAGGTAAGATTTTGATATATTTAAAGGGGAGGCTGGATGGTGTCTTTAACCCCTTAAGACCGCAGGGCGTACTATTACGTCCTCTAATAGGCGGCTCTAAACGCCGCCGGGCGTAATAGTACGCCCTCCGGTCTTTCTGTACTTACCCGGTCGCCGGCGGTCCCACACCGGCGATCGCGGTGAGGGGGACTCCCAGGGAGCCCCCCGCGGCACGACCGTCCTCCAGGAAGCCCCCCGGCCGGGTGAGAGTGGGGTCCTAGCGAGGACCCCACAATCACATGGCCGGGTATAGCTGGCTTCTGTATTGCCAGCAGGGGGGCTGCCTGTAATTACAGGGGGTCCCCCTGCTGGCTGAAAATAAAAGTAAAATAAGTTAAAAGTGTAAAAAAATAAAATTATATATACTTAGATCATATATATATATTATATATATATGATCAAAGTATATATATACACATATACATACACACATGTACACCGTCTAGGTGTATTTTACTATTAATATATATATAATTATATATATATATTAATATCAAATTACACGTACACTGATACTGATTAAATATATATATAATTATTGTTATATATATATTTATATATATTATAAAAAAAATTAAAATGTAAATACGTTAAAAAATAAAATTACAAAAATAATTAAAAATAAATAATTAAAAAATATATAGATGTGTGTTATTTCGTTCTAACTGTATTGTGAAATTAATATATATATATATATATCAAAATACACATAGAACGAAATAATATATATATTTATACACATAAATATATACGTATATATCACTATATATATACCTATATATAAATAAAAATATTTTAAAAAAATTATATAGATATATACATATATATACACATACGTATATATATACATATATTGATTCTACATATATATTTATGTAATATTTTACATAATTAGGTATCTTAATTAATTACAATTAGCAGGACCTGCATGACAACCCATGCCGAAAGTAAAGGGAATTTAATTTGCTAGCACTATATTTAACCCTATAACTTTCCGAGACACCATAAAACTTGTACTTGGGGGGTACTGTTCTACTCGGGAGACTTCGCTGAACACAAATATTAGTGTTTCAAAACATTAAAATGTATTACAACGATGATATCGCCAGTAAAAGTGACGTTTTTTGCATTTTTCACGCACAAACAGCATTAAACGGACAATATTATTGCTATGATACTTTTTACTGTTTTGAAACACAAATATTTGTGTTCAGTGAAGTCTCACGAGTACAACAATACCCCTCATGTACAGGTTTTATAGTGTTTTCAAAAGTTACAGCGTCAAATATAAGGCTTGCGTTTCATTTTTTTCACATTAAAATTCGCCAGATTGGTTACGTTGCCTTTGAGACCCTATGGTAGCCCAAGAATGAAAATTACCCCTATGATGGCATAACATTTGCAATAGTAGACAACCCAAGGTATTGCAAACAGGGTATGTCCAGTCTTTTTTAGTAGCCACTTAGTCACAAACACTGGCCAAAATTGGCGCTTTTTGCATTTTTCACACACAAACAAATACTAACGCTAACTTTGGCCAGTGTTTGTGACCAAATGGCTACTAAAAAGACTGGACATACCCCATTTGCAATACCTTGGGTTGTCTACTATTGCAAATGGTATGCCATTATGGGTGTAAATTTCATTCCCTGGCTACTATACAGTCTCAAAGGCAACGTAACCAATCTGGCGAATTTCAATTTCAAATGTAACGTGCTATATTTGACCCTGTAACTTCCCAAAACGCCATAAAACCTGTACATAGGGGGTACTGTTTTACACGTGAGTCTTTGCTGAATACAAATATGTGTATTTTATTGCAGTAAAAGCAAACAGTATTATGACACTGACCGTTAAAATGTCATGTAGAACTAAAAAAATTTAAAAAATCGTATTTTCTCCCATTTTTTTCACATTAAATTATGTTTCATAGCTAAATATTTGATATTAAATGAAAGCCCTGTTTCCCCTGAATAAAATGATATATAATAAGGGTGGGTGCATTTACTATGAAAGAGGTGTATTACGGTTGGACAGACATGTAGCGCAAATGCCAGGTTTTGTTTACATTTTGTTTTGTTCACAACGTGTACATTTGGCTCCGTCCTTAAGGGGTTAACACTATAGGGTCAGGAATACATGTTTTGTATTCCTGACTCTGCAGTGTTCATTTTAAAGGGACATTCTAAGCAATACAACCATTACAGTTCAGTGTGTTGGTTATGTTGCTTTGAGTGTCTTGGTGCCATACACCAAATTCGTGTAAAATACTGAAGTAACAGTTTTACATCAACTAAGGCCCTTCCTGACCGCCCCCCTTTCTTCAGCTGCATTGATAATGTGGATTTTACACTTCCCCCTTTATCAATGTAAGTTTTGTCAAACCTATATGTTGACTTCGGGCCAGTGAAAGGATTTTTGCCACCCTAGGCAAACACAAATTTGCCCCACCCATATGCCATATGGGCCAATGCCAATTCTGTATACAGTTTCTTTTATCTGATAATACAGTGTGTTTACATTAAAAAGCCTGCAGGGACAGGCTATAGACCCCAGAACCATTACATTAAGCTGTAATGGTTCTGATGACTATAGTGGCCCTTTAATGTGAGGCAAATTAGAGATTAGTGCAACTAATAATATACTAGATTTCCTACTTACCACCAGATGAGGAGCACAAGAGGATGATGATGGGCTCAGGCTGCAGTCTGGTGTAGAAGAGGCTCTCTGGAGGCTGTTTGTAACAGTGCTCACAAAAATCAACAAACCGGAAGCAGCTCCATTTTTGGGGCCCCTTAACACAGCTCAAGCTCCGGGCCCCCAGGGCCTGACCGTGAGTATGCCTACAAGGCCCGCCCATAAGTCCACCTACATGGCCCATACATAAGTTCGCTCACAGGGAGTGTGTAGGGGATGTGTTGTGTGTTATTGTAGAGGATGTAATATGTGTGCTTATGGAATGTAGTGTGTGTTTGTGTACGTGTGTTAGTAATGTAATGCAGTGTGTGTCTGTAAGGGGTGCATTGAGTTTGTGTAAGTTATGCATTTTGTTTCTGTGTGTGTGCGTAAGGGATACATTGTGTGTTTTGGTGTGTCTGTGTGTGGGTAGGGATGCATTGTGTGTTTTGCTGTGTCTGTGTGTGGGTAGCGATGCATTGTGTAGTGTGAAAGAGAGGGTTTGTGGGGTAGGATAGGGGCTGAGAGAGAAGCAGCTCTTTTTTTTTATTTTTATAGTGCTCTCCCCTCCTGTCAATTAGTGATCTCCCCTCCCCTCCTGTCCCTTATTGCTCTCCCCTCCTGTCTCTTTCTGCTCTCCCCTCATGTTCCTCTGTGATATCCCTCCCCCCTCCTGTCCCTTAGTGATCTCATATAATGTGTCGTCGTCGTCCCCCACCCCCCCTTGGTGATCCTCCCTCTCACCTACCCCCTTAGTATTATTTCCCCCCTCCCTGTGGTGCCTCCTTCCTATCTTTGTAGCGTGGCCGGGCAGCACGGACAGGAGCTCCTGTTTCCTGTACCTGGCTGGACTGACAGGAAGTGCTCTCTCTGCGCCGCCCGGCCATGCTACATTGAATGACTGGCAGGAGAGAGCTCTGTGCGCTTCCCTCCTGCCGGTTCACTCAAATCTGGGCCCCCTAGGCGACTGCCTAAGTCGCCTATAGGACACGTCGGCCCTGCTTAGAGTGCTAGCTATGGTGTTGATTAGAATATAATGTTAAAGGGACACTATAGTCACCAGAACAACTATAGCTTAATGTAGTTGTTCTGGTGAGTATAATAATTTCCTTCAGGCAACTTCATACAAACATTGCCTTTTTAGAGAAAAAGATGGCCACTGGAGGTGCTTCCTGGGGCAGTGCTGCAGAGTAGGTAGCACTGCCGTTCAGCGTCTTCACGCTCTGCTCATTGATTCAATGCATCTCTATGAGGAGGTACTGATTGGCCAAAACTGCGTGTTGCCTTGCCTCCTTGCCTTTTTTCCTTGCCTATGGTAAAGCATTAGATTGACTACAAAATCTAATGATGTCAACAAGAAGGCGGTTCAGGGGTCAAGCGAGCATCGTCAGACCCCCTTCTAAGGGGGGGGACAAACCACCTAAATGGTTGTTTTAACACTACAGGGTCAGGATTACATGTTTGTGTTCCTGACCCTATAGTGTTCCTTTAAAGTTCTAGTGATACATGATACATTTATTGCACGATGTAAAACTGCATCTCTTAAAGAATATATAGAGAATTATAATCTAGAGATACATTGTCCAGAGTTCAGCCATTACATGTATTACTGGATTATCAGGTAAGGTGTGGATTGTAAACCTTTCACACATTGCTTACAATACCTACATTGCTGTGGTCAAAGATTGGAATAGATGACGAAATAGAGTAGAGTGTTTGGGTGTGTTGCATTCTGTTATTGTTCACTCTTTCCTGTCCTGTTTACACTTTGCCTGCGCCTTTAAAGTGAATCACAGAGGGCCACACTAGGTCACAGCACCAAAAAACAAATATTCCTCTAGAGTTTATCTTTAAATAACTGGATTACAGAATGGCCAATTGGGTAATAGCCAGGGGAACGTTCTGTTTGTCCACAGCATTCTACTGAATTGTCTAGTTCTGTTAACAACTTTCCCTGAGAAAGCGCATAGAAAGTACTTTCAGTTTGTCCACTATTTTGTCCCTATACTTGCGTATATTCTCTCCTTTCTGTATTGTATGGCATTGGATCACATAAATAACATACATATATAATTATACAGCTAGTTAACTAGGTAAACCCTGCACTTGTCATGAACTGCAACAACGTGTTATCTAAATTCAGGAGACCATTATTACAGTATATGTAGAATATCATATCAGTATGTCTTTTCCCAAACTATATTCCACTAATATAGACATGTCATTATGTTTTGTTAAAACTTTTTTTTAAAAAAATGTTTACAAAAATTTAAATTGGTTAGGATTAGGGCGAGGGTGCCTTTCAATTTAGAGTCTTGGGAGTCTGCCCAAGAGTGATGGTTGTTACACTCCTGCAGTTTCTCACAATAATGATATGTCAAGAGAAGAACTCCTCAGCTCCTCTCTTGACATAATCTTAGGAGAAGGGCTGAATTAAGCTTGTATATGGTTGCCCGGGAATGTAACACCCATTAATCACTGGCTGGCCCAGGACATAGTTGTAAATTAAATACTCCTCACAGTGCCAATTATGAATTGCAGAGACTAATGCAATGTGCATTAGTGAGAAAACATTATCTATCTGTCTAATATTATTATTTTAGTTTTATTACACCAGTAATTCGAATTTACATTTTGTTTGTCAATGAAAAAAATACACTGCCAAAATCATCAGTACCCTGTCAAATTCAATATTGGGTTTGATTAAAGTTCAAATAAATTAGCAGGCTTTTGCCAAATTACAATTCATGTTTGTTGATGAGCTCAGAACCTATCCCTATTGCCAATAAGGTTGTTTACTAAAATTTACAATCTGTTGCTATGTGCCTGGCCAAAACATGGTATTCAGGGCTGTCTGTAACAAATGGCAAAATGCTGGGGGATAAAAAATGGGAGAGCAGGGGGCAGGGTACCTGTGTCAAGAACAGACCATGGAAACATTCTGAATGCCGGTGCTTGTAGGAGAAAACTACAATGCACCTGGTGGAAGAGAAAGACACTGGGAAAAGGTAACCAGATGCTTATATATATGTGTGTATGTATTTTTACAGTGGAAATTGGGTGGTCTTAAGGGGCTATCAAATATTTTTTTGGGCTAAGGCCCCAGGGGCTTACTCACCTAGCAACATCACTGCTGATACTGCTAGAGGGGAATTGTGACTTCCACATAATGGCCTGACCCCTCGTTTTGTAATAGACTGCTTGAAATTTCTAAAGGACCACTACAGGCATCCAAACAACTTCAGTTCAATGAAGTGGTCTAGGTGCAGTAGCCTAGTCATTTTAGCTCTTCAATATAGTACATCGCTATTAAGTAAATACGGCAATGTTTTGATTGAAGGGTTAAACATGCCTCTAATAGTTGTCTTCCTGACAGCTACTAAAGATGCTTACACTGCAATAAAGGAGTTTCACTTTGTCATGTGACATTCAGCATTCCTGGGGATGTCGAACCTAATCAACTGCTGCTCGTAGGGATGCATTTGACTCGATACTTCCCGATTAAACGCATTAGATTGGACGTGTGCTCGCCACATCTCATCCACAATGGTTCTCTATGGATGCCTCCGTGATCACATTGCGGGAGAAGGAGCAGGCAGAGGCACTGAGTGAGTCTCGGAGCTGGAGAAGAAGTAAATACAAATATATTTTCTTTTTTTACCCTTTTTCCAAAAAGTGTCCCTAAATCTAAATAGGGAGAGACTAGAACACGAACGCTATAGTGTTATTTTAACAGAATAATTTGGCTCCATATACAAAACCGGATATAGTGGTTACAATGGTTATGGTTTTCCTTTCAAATAAACCAGTTTAATTTATTTATTTTACCCTGAAATCTTGAAACACTTTTTAAGTATTTGCACCCACTTGGGATGTATTGCTCTTTCTGGTTTTAATAACTTTAAGTTATGTCAGCTTTAATTAAACAAGGGTTGGTAAGTAAAAAAGAAATGTAACTCCTTCTCCACCTTTTTATGAAACCTGAAATCCAAACTTTCGATTAATTGAATAATTACAGCCTTCTATTTATGGGATAATGAGAATTCTCCAAGCTCTATAACGTATGTGCTCTTTCTGTAGGTTGTGGTGTAGGGAGGTCCCTGTCTTTCTTCATACTTTGTGTAATTGCTGCAACTTTGTGCACACCTCTGTGATCTGGTTAGCACAGTGTGTGCAGGAACAATGTACAAACACCTTTTTAAGTCATTCATCCACAAGCGTCGTGACCATCTTAAAGGACACTTTTATGCTGGCTGTGCGAATTTCAAGTTGCACTCGGCAGAGGAACAATTAAAACCACAGCAAGAGTCCCTGGCTATGGTTCAAATGTGGTCAGCCTGGTTTAGTATTGTTAAAGGATCACTATAGGTTCAGGAACACAAACATGTATTCCTGACCCTATAGTGCTAAACCCACCATTGGCTTAGCCCCCTATAAAAGTTTAAAACTCACCTTCTTTCCAGCGCCGTGTGAGTCTGCGGCGCTGGCTCTGCCCTCTTTGTGACATCATCAAAATGGCCGATTTTTAGCCAATAAAAGCATTGGATTAGCTAAAATTGTCTCGGGGTGGGGCCAAATGCCATTTTGGACAATCAGGACCTCCTTATAGAGATGCTTTGAATCAAGCGTGGAGACGCTGAATGGCAGGGCTGCTTACTGTGCACTTGGAGGTGTCCCTAGGGGCAATGTAAACACCGCCTTTTCTATGAAAAAGGCAGTGTTTACATGAAAATGCCTGAAGGGAGCTATTATACTCACCAGAGCAACTACATTAAGCTGTAGTTATTCTGGTGACTATAGTGTCCCTTTAAATATACAGTGGGACCTCGGTTTACAAACGCCTCAGTTTACAAATGAAAATCCATTGAAAATAATGCCTTGGTTTACACATTTTTTTTTGCAATACAAAGCAAGTTTCCCCAGGATGCATTGCACCTGGGAGGTTTATAGCACTGCCCCCTGCATGCTGGAGCCTGTGGGTAGCACGGCGCGTTTTAGAGCCATTCTGTCAAATGTTTGCAGTTGTTTTGGGACTTTTTGGCGCATTTCTCAAGCTGTGGAAAGGTGGGGAGCTGAGCTTTGTCGTTTGCATGCCTTTTATTGTGTGTTCTGCATTGTGGGTTGGTTTCCATGCCAGCTTATTTTGACTTTTTTCTGACCTCCAGAACGGATTAATTGGTTTTCAATGCATTCCTATGGGAAACCGCGTTTCGGTTTACAAATTTTTCGCAATAAGAAACGTCCCGGAGAACGCATTAAATTCGTAAACCGAGGTCCCACTGTATTCTATTATAAAAAATTATGTTTGGGGTCTATTCGCTAAAAAGTATGTTGATGATCAAATATTGAATACATCAAATATTAAAATTCAGTCCAAAATATTTATTTTGGTAAAAATAAGAGAAAAAAAATATCGTAAGACATAATTATGTCAAACAACTGCTCGTAGCCTAAATCTTGCTGTTTGCTTTTCAACATGCCACTAATCACTGCTCCAGTTTGTGTCTATTTCACAATTTACAAGGATCCAATAAACCGTTCTAAAATTTCCCTCTGCTCATTACTTCCCCATTCCATAGTTATCGCTTAGGCAGAATGTACGTACATCACGGTAACGTTTGACGCTTGTTAATTTGGTGGTGCTGAAAGGGTTAATGGCATTTGGCATGACTGAATCCTGTCTACAGATATTTTTGACTCCTAATGAGTAAGGTGAAACTTTCACATATAATATTTTTGAGTGCTGTGGAATCCCCTGATTGTAGTCACACCTCAAAACCACAGTACATATTCCCTCTAAGCACAATAAACAGTGGTTATGGTGTTGAGACTGTACAAACAAACACAGCACAAAAAACCTCATTAAAAAAACAGCACATTTGGATACATCACAGTACTCTTTTAATATATATAATTGACCTGCTTTGTGAACAGCCATTTCCCATCACCCAAACCTTTTTATGTATGTTTTTTTCTTTTCTTCTTACAGGCAGTGGAAGAGGTTAACAAACAGCTTAGAGAACTGTATCCCGATAGCGAAGAACTCTTTGATATTGTTCTGATGACAAATAATCATGCCCAAGTTGGCGTAAGGCTCATAAACAGCATCAATCACTATGGTAAGTAAAATAAACAGTGCGCTGTGTGGATACTCGCTACTATGGGGTAAAGGAAGCATTTATTCAGTCTAACCCTGCTTCGGACAGCTCCTTTTAATGTGGCTGTGTTTATTTGCTTATGTCAGAGTGTGGGTGACAACGCAAATTTTTCACCTTTCAACAAATGCATGATCCCATAGCAGTAGACTTAACTTGTCATATTAGAATCACAGTGGAATGACAGGCCTCTCTTCTGCATGCATCCCACTCATGTCATAAACCCCCATTCAGAATCTCTCATGATAAAGTTGTCTAACAGGGGGATTAAGCCAAGATATTTAAGGCTGTGAGTAATGATCACTGACACCCCCCTCCTGTTTCTTGCCAGCAGGACGTGTTGGAAGTTAAAAGCAAATCCTCACCACCGAGGGGCAGCTGTGAAGCAATCTCTCCTTTAGTTTTAAGGTCAACAGATAGCGCTATGGGAGGGGGTAATCTGGATATTCAGCTGCCCCCAGGGTGGTCTTGCGAAAGACTTTCATCATGACACCTATGTCAAGTCTCTGAGAATAACAAAGCCCAAATGTTTCCATTTCAAGTTAAAGATAGAATAAACTACAGCCTTTTCAATGAGGCCTAATGGCATATGGAGGATTCAAATGATTTCTTTTAAAGCGTAGTTTTTTTCTTTTATTTTTGTGTAATGTTGGAAGGACAGAACATTAGTTATATATTTTTTTTTTTTTCTTCATAAAGTTATCTGCGGATATGCATATGTTCAGCAAAAAAATTATTTAAAATTGTTGCCAAAAAAAAGTGTGTGATTTTATGTTAAATGGAGTATCTAAAACCTAATACCAATGGGTTACATTACACTAGTTTGCAGTACATTATGAAAAATGTATTCTATTCATTATCGGGCCATGAGTTCTTTGTACCATAGGGGAATCATAGCATTGCAGCGAGACTTAAAAAAAACAACTTTATTTATTGCAACTCGGATATTTTGGGCAGATATTTCCATAGATTGCGGTTTATAATATAATTTTTTTTAAAGAATATTTGCAGATCTTTTTGAATAATTTAATCCACAGCATTTTTTTTATCATGTGTCATTCTGTAATTTGTTTCCAAATTCTACACTTACATTTTAGACAGAATCAACGGTCTTTTCCCATAATTTGTAATATTTACTGATTCCCTATATTTAAAGAGACACTCCAGACCCCTTAAGCATTTTAGCTTGCTGAAGAGCTTTGTGTGAATGAAGAGTGTGTCCTCTGTTGTGTGGTTTTTTTTTTTTATTTTTTATTTTTTTATTTTACAAAAAGTGCAGTTTAATAGAAATTGACACTTTTATAAATTATAAATTTTATAAATGATTACGCCCCTCTGGCTGTCAACTAGACTACCGTTCTTGTTATTTCCTGGTTTTGATAGCTCAGTGGAGCTAAACTCAAGAGGCAGCAATTGCCCAGAGCACCTGCCTTGCATGAATTCTCATTGATCTGCATTGCAAAGTCTGTGATTGGACAGCCACAGAAAGTCTGGGTGGTTTAGAAGGGGAGAGTTCCATCTGGAAACGGAGTGCCTCTATCGTGAGTCTTTGCTATAAGGTCTGCCATTTGCTTCTGGCAATCAGTATAAAGAAACAAGAAACCGTGCCAGGTCTAGATTGGATTGTGATTGTCAAATGGTAACGGGGGAACTATTACTGGAATTTCAAAAGCAGGGTGGAGTGCAAAGAGGCAAAAAATGGGGGTGTTGTGAACCTGTGTCTAAATTAATTAGTTAAACCGTAGAAAGATATAAATTAATAGGAGCAGCAGTCTACGAGAAGAAAAATCTTCAACCTTTCCACTAAATAGTTTTAAAAGCTTAAATTGGAATGTGTACGTCATTACAATATATTGGTTCTAAAAAAAGTTAAATATTTTTTTTTTTATTTTTTTTTTAGAACTATTATATTGTAACTAGGCCAAATTTAAGCTTTTATAACTTTTAATAAAACATTAAAAATCAGATATAACTTATGTTAACCTTTTTGTTTCTTTTTTTATTTAAGATTTGTTAAAAGACAGAACTTGGGATAACATTGAAAATGAAGAGGAGAAATCGAAACATTACTTCATTTCTTCTCTATGCTGTTTGTCCAGTTCAAAGAATAGAGTTTATAACAAAGGCTGACAGGCAGATAAGATGGCGCCCAGTTGCAGAACAAAGAGATGTGCTTTTCTACATTATATTTTTCACACCTCACATATGCACATTTGTTCAAAATGTACAGAATAAGTAAACAAAAAAAAAGGCTCTCCCTTTTATTGTGCATCAATATGAAGAGAGACCTTTGATTAACTCAAGCTAGAGTGTTTCATTCAGTGGTGTAATTTCCAGAGATGTGATGGTTCCGCATTAAACCGCAAATTTTCAATTCTCTGATGTTTATATCCAGACTTATGTAAATACTTAGAAATCTTCATACAAGATACCAACTTCAAGTAAAAAGATTAAAAGGACACTCCGAGCAGGAAATTACCCATTTAATGCATTGTACAGAATGGATAATGCACATAAAAAATAAATTTAAAAAATTTAAAAAAAAGATTGCATCAAAAGCTTTGAGCATTTCATATGCTGGAAAGTACTGTAGCCAATCAGAAGCCTCTCAATCTACTCAGTGGAGTCTGAACTGTGAACCTTCTAACTGCACAGCAGTGCAAAGATGTAAAAGCAAATCGGGCACTTGATATTTATCTTTGCGCAGATTAGATATGTGAGAGTAACTAGTGAATTTCTTTGCCATAGACGCCATTAAATATTCAAAAGTTCTCTGAAATGAATTTACTGCTCAACATTTACCGATATTACTCTTGTCTTAGGTTTGAATATTGAGCGCTTCTGCATGACGGGAGGTAAAAGTCCAATTGGTTACTTGAAAGCCTATCTAACTAATCTGTACCTATCGGCAGACTCTGAGAAAGTTCAGGAAGCTATTCAAGAAGGTAAGTCCCCTGTCTCAAATAACCAACTATGCATCCACAGTGACAGTGCATAGTGCGTAGCACCTAAAAATCTACGTAGTAATGAGTTACTGTTCCCCTCTCCACAAGATGCTGAGGCTCTCGAAGGGTTAAAACCAATAGGACCAGATGATGTAAATAATGCAAGTTTGATTGAAGACCAAATAAAATCTATAATATTCTAATACTTCAAAACCAAATATAAGAAATAGTACCCAGATCACAAAAGAAATGTGCTGAAAAAATTTATTTTGCGACAAAAAAATTTCATCACCTTCCAGCTTGGCTGGCTTTTGAGCTCTGAACAGACTGACCTTTGACAGCTAAGACCTTTATATAGGCCTCTTCTACCTTGAATCCTCCGTAACTGTGCTGTGATTGCTTAGCTTTGAAGCCATCTAATGCTCAGGTCTCTGATGGGCAAGTCTCAATTTCCATAAGACTTTCATGTTAATGATTACTATGAGACTTTGCATCTCCTGGCCCATCGTGGACATCTTAGGGGGACCAGGAAGATCGTCAACTTCTGACCCCATTTACCCTTTATAAATCGTCACCCATCTGCCCTTATAGCGAAGAAAGGGGTTTGGGCCACTTGTAGTTCCCCTACCTTCCAACTCATCACATGCTACACAGGCTTCTACTGATATTATTGTGGTTCTTTTTTTAAAAGAAAGAGCTGATTGTCTCTTTCTTATCACA